GGGGGGGGCGGGTGATGACTGTCGGCCTTGAGCGGGAGGAGAGCGGTTTGTTGCCGGAACGGGGAGCTGGGGGTCCGCAGTTTGCCGCTTCTCGAGCTTGGAGCCGGGCCTGAGCTTCCAGGCCGGGCCGTGGACACCTTGACTGAATCCACCCCCAACACCCCGGCCGGATCGCGCAGACGCGGACAGACTTGCACATCCCCTTCCCCCGTCCTCCGCCTCCCTCCCTCACTCACTCACATCACTCTCCTCGCCATCTTGTCCTCTGTCCGTTGGGGCTCCGTGCACCGCTCACTCTCCCCTGCCGCCGCTACTGCTGCCCTCCCCCGACAGCGGAGCCTAGCGGCACCAGGCACAATCACAGCTCACTTCCCACTCTCTCTCTCTGCTTCAGCCTGTTTGTACAGATTTCAGCAAGGATCTTGGTTTACACAGTCCCTGATGGAAACTTATGTTAAAGAAATATCAAAATATTTTTACCAGAGTGATGATGCAGCTCTGCCCGTTGGTCCTTGAAGTTGTTTGTTGTGCCATGCTCCCTCTGCATGAACACCCAGAAGTGATTGTAATCATGGCAGAGGTTCAAATACTTGGATAGAGGGGTCAGCTATTTGCAAATACTCGTGCTTATGAATGCAATTCCGCACAGTGGCATAATTTTGAAAATCCAGCATATAAACTTTTCCTGTACTTAGGAAGCGCTATTGTATATTTTCCTGCGTTGCGTTCCAATTTGCGTACAAACTGACTTATGAACAGAACTCTAGAATGGAACCTATTGGCAACCCAGGGACTGCATCAACTGAGAATCCATCCACGGCCTGCTATCTGGATCTGTTGATGGCCACCTTGGCCAAACCCAGGAGCAGATCCATCTGAATGTCCCCCAATCTGCCTACCCACCTCCACACAACGCACTCATGGAGGTTTGGTCCAAAGTGCAACCAAAATTCAGAAGCAAACTTTTAGAACAAAACTAAATAAGGCCTGCAAATGATAAACTTTCAAAGTAAGCATGTTTTTTTTCTCCAAGCCACAAAAACTACATGTGACCTGACACCCATTGGAACTGCTGAAGTATTTGTCATAAGGCAATACTGTGTGCATTACTCTGCACCCCAGAAGCTGTTATTAAAAACATTGTAGGAGAGCACCTAGAAACATTGAAGGGAATCAGGCAGAGTCAACACGGGCTTATTGGAAGGAAATCATACATAACCAATTTATTGTTCTTTGAAGAAGTAACATGTGCTGTGAATAAAGGGGGAACTGTAGAATACTTTATTGAGATTTCCAGAAAGCATTTGATCAGTGGCCAGATAATGGTTTTGTGGGAAATAAAGATTCACGGTGTAGGTGGTAACACAGTGGCATTTCATAGAAGATTAGATAAAGCAAGAACTGCAGATGCTGGAGTCAGAGCCTACACATTGTGGAGCTGGAACACAGCAGGTCAGGCAGCATCAGAGGAACAGGAAAGTCAATATTTCAGGTCAGGATCCTTCATCAGAAGGATAGAAGATTAGCTCGGAGACAGAGAATGGCAAGAATGGTTCAATTTCTGCTTAGCAAAATTTAACAAGTGGTGTGTCACAGGTATCTCTGCTAAGGTTTCAACTTTTTACTATATATTTTATATAGATGAATTGGAGTAAGGGATCACAAGTATTCTAGCAAAATTTGCTGAGGACGCAAATTTGGGTAGGAAATTAAGTTGTGATAGAACACAAGGAGGCCACAAAGGGATAAAAATAGGTTAAATGAGTAAGCAAAGATATAGCAAACAGGATAAATTATGGGAACTTGTCCATTTTGTTGGAAAGAATAAAAAAAAGACTATACTATCTAAATGGGGAGGAATTTCAAAGCTCCAAGATGCAGAGGGATCTGGGGTGTCCTCGTGCATGCTTTGTAAAAGGTTAGTATGCAGGTGCAGCAAGTTAATAGGAAAGTAAACAGAATGTTACTATTTATTGCAAAGAGAGTTGTATTCAAAAGTAGGGAAATTATACCTCAGTTATACAGGGCATTGGTGAGATCACATCTGCAGCACTATTTGCAGTATTGGTTTCATTATTTAAGAAAGGATGTAAATGCATTAGAAGTGTTTGGAGAAAACCCGGAATGGGTCAGTTGCCTTATGAAAGGGTGGACAGGCTGGGCTTGTATCCACTGGAGTTTAGAAGTGTAAGAGGCAACTTGATGTCAATATTTAAGACCATGAGGCACCTTGACCAGGTGCATGGAGAAAGAATGATCACTATTGTGGAGAATCTGGAACTAAGGGGTCACCCATTTAAAACAGAGATAAGGAGAAATGTTTTCATTCAGAGGGCTCTACATCATTGATACGCTCTTCCTCAAATTACAGTTGAAGCTAAGCTTGAATATCTTTAAGGCAGAGGTAGATAGATTCTTGAAAATCAAGGGGGTGAAAGGTTACCAGTGATATGCATAAACATATAGTAATCATATCAGTCGTGATCTTAATGAATGACAAAGCAGGCTCAAGGAGCCAAGTGACCTAATCCTGCTCCTAGTTTGTGACTTTATACATCTGCTGATCATTGCACAATATTCTGCATCATCCCTGACTCGATGGAGAGAAAGCAAGCTAGCCTTTCGAGTCTAGATGACTCTTCCAGCTCAAATGAAGAGTCATCCAGACTTGAAATGTTACCTTGCTTTCTCTGCATGAATGCTGCCTAACTCCACTGTGATCTCCAGCGGTTTTTGTTTTCAGTTCAGATTCCAGCAGCTGCAGTAATTTGATCGTATCATCCCTGTCTCCTCAGATACTGTAACACTCTGTGACTGTGCGCAGCTAGACCAGGACAACGTCCACACTTGAAGTGATAAGCAGCTAGTAACATCTGCGCCACGCAAGTGCGAGGTAATAACAGTCTCCAACAAGAGTGAATCTAACCATTCCCCTTGACATTTAATGCATTACCATTGTTGAATCCCCTCTTAGCTACATTCTGTGGGTCACCATTGATCAGAAACTGAACTGGATAAGCAACAGAAATATTGTAACTACAAAAGCAGATCAGAGGCTGGAAAAGTGAGGCCACTAACTTGCTTCCTGACCCCCCCAGAACATGTTGATTATTTACAAGTCAGGGGTGTGAGGAAATACCCTCCACTTGCCAGGATGAGCATAACAATAATACTCAATAATCTGGACACCATCCAGCACAAATTAGCCCATACTCACTCCATCACTGATTACAGTGGCAGCAGTGTGTACCATCTGCGAGATGCTCTGCAGCAATGTATCTAGCCTCCAGCAACAGCACCTTCAAATCTACCTCTATCTAGGACGACAAGGACTGCAAACTGCCCTCCATATCCCACACCATCCTGACTTGGAACTACATTGCTGTTTCTTTGCTGTGTCAAAATCCTGCAACTCCCTTTCTACCAGCTTTGCAGGTGTACATACCTGAAGTGCGCTGAAGTGTTTCAACCACCATCTCAAGCATCATTAGGGGTGGACAATCAATACTGGCCTAACTAGCAAAAACCACGTCCTGCGGAAGAATTTTAAAAACCTGAAACAAAACTAGAAATTGCTGGAGAAATTCAGCAGGTCTGGCAGCATCTGTGGGGAGAAAGCAGAGTTAACATTTTTGGTCCAGTGACTCGTCTTCGGGTGAAACCAATCATCTGCTTCTGCAGAGCTCGGTGCCTCACTTCACAGTCCAAACCCAAAGAGGTGCTCCTGCTAGAAATTCCCGTCAGTTATTAACTTGTAGCTGCTGCAGTGTTCCTGAGTATTGTATATCTGCTGTTGGCTGCTTTGCCTATTGCTAAAAGAAGTGACCAAAATTGCCTGGTTCATTAGGACCATACTGTCCCGGAACTCTCATTCTGCGGATGCATGCACCTATTTAAATCTAACTTCTGTGCACAATAAAGTGAAAGAAAAATGTTTTGTTCATTCATGGAATGTGGACATTGCTGGCTAGACCAGCATTTATTAACCATCCGTAACTGCCTGGTGGGCAGCTAAGAGTCAACCTCATTGCTGTAAATCTGGAGTCGCATGCAGTCCAGACCAGGTAAGCACGGCAGATTTCTTTCCTAAAGGAAATTAGTTAACCAAATGGTTTTTTACGACAATCGACAGTGGTCACCATCCATCTGGCTCTTTTATTTCCATTTCTTAAAATTCAAATTTCACTGTCTGTCATGGTGGGGTTCGAAATTACATGGATATAAAGGACTTTCAATCTCAGTGGAGGATTATCCCAGAATGAAATTCACAAAAGAACTAGGTGCCAATTGTCCTGCTGCCCCTGTTAATATGACCATTGTTCTATTAACATATATCAAACTAAAGCATTTTACAACCTGGCCAAATAAATTAATTGTTCTCTCATTTTGTTTTTGTAACATAGGAACAGGAGTATGCCATTCAGCCCCTGGAGCCTGTTCCACCATTCAATGAGATCATGGTTGATCTGTGGAGCTGAGTTCCATTTACCTGCCTTTGAACCATATGCCTTAATACCTTGACTTAATAAAAAATTAACTATCTCAGCAACTATCATGGTTGCAATAGGAAAAGACACTTCTAGTCTCAGGCATTTTAAAACTTATTTTCAAACTGCTACTGAACAAAGATCCAGTCGACAATCACAGAACACATAACGTGTAGCATCTATCTTCAATCTCTGTGTTTACACTGTTAGCCACTGGTGCTTCAGAAACTATTGCTGAGATAGAGCAAAGCTTGTGCAAATCCTTAGATGTGAGGTACAGGCAGTTTCTCTAATCGGCAACAATTTACAACCTTAAGAGCAGAAACCTTGAAATATCAGAATTCTTTGCAGCTCACTGATTTGTTGATTTGCAATTACTTATTCACAAGGTTTCAGATCTGTTGTGTGAAAGAACATCCCATCTTTGTCCCTCCTGTAGACAAGATGTATTATATTTTCCTTGTTAACATCCATACAAAGCTGCAGTTTCATGGGAAGTGAACATTCCCAGTTGGCCTTTACCTGAAATGTCGATTTCGCTAAAGTTTGCACAGCAAAATTATTGCTTTCCCCTCAGAGGATGCAACATTGTAAACTCTTCTTACGGAGTTGAATATACAAACTCAACTACCAACAATGGCAAGTTTTACAGAAGAAGAAACATCTGCCTTGCCTAAGAGGTAACACCCCTACAGTAAGTAGCAGTTGTTTCAGTCACCAATTACATGTCTCAAATAGGAAACATGCATAGGTCCATAAAGAGGAAAGTTGTAAATTGTGAACATCTGGCTCTTGAACTATATAACATTTGTACTGCCAACTTGAATGACTGATTCTTGCAATAGGTCAAAAGAAATTTGCCCAGGGA